CTCCACACCCTGATCTGCCTGCCCTGGGGAGACTCCTGCTCCCTCGCTAGAGAACAGGGGAGGCCACTCAGTGCCCAGCGTGGGGCGTGGCAACCCTGCTGCACACCCCGTCATCCTCAGGCCAGCCCCGTCCCCCACTCGCCCCCTTCATGCTGTCACCCTCAGGCCAGCCCCCTGTCCCCCACTCGCCCCCTTCATCCTGTCACCCTCAGGTCAGCCCCTGTCCCCCACTCGCCCCCTTCATCCTGTCACCCTCCCGCTCCTCAGCCCTCTGCTGATGTGGGACCATCTGTCCTACAGGGTGGACACCGAGGACTAGCAGGAAGCAGGTCCAGAGCGGCTCTCCCCTAAAAAGTCTCCGGAGCTTGAGTCTGGAAATTCCTCAGTCTTCACAGCGTGGGTGGTACATGTCACTGGGTAAGTAACGAGGACTCTTTTTTTTTTTAGCTGTAGATGGACAAATATCTTTATTTTGTTTATTCGCTTTTATGCGGTGCTGAGGATCGAACCCAGAGCCCTGCACATGCTAGGTGCGCGCTCTACCGCTGAGCCACAGCCCAGCCCAATGATCACTCTTTGTCCCATATTTTTAGGCTAGACAAGTCTTTACCACAGGAACAGAAGTGACAATTCTTGTGCCTCATCAAGGTTGTGGGCAAATTCAGCTTTTGCAAGACGGAGAACTTAGACCTTAGGGAAAACAGGAAGTGTCAAACCACAGTGAGCTCTTTGCAGACATTTTTGCTGATATTCTGTTAATAAAAGCAATTATGGTGAGGGTCTCTGGAGTAGCTTAATTATGACTCTTTGGTGGAGGCGGGGGTGCCAAAGGGGCACCACTACACTGACTGTCCCCTCTCTGGCAAGAGCAAAAGTGACCCTGTGTCCTCTTTCCAACTGGGCAGTTTGAGGCTGCAGGAAATGTACAGGACTCGAAGGAGCACTGAGATCAGCCCCTAACCCCACGTGGGCTGAAGGACCCGAAGAGGGACGTTCGAGGCAGGACCCCCTCCTGACCCTCCTGGGCCTGGCCGGCTCCTGCGCTGACTCCCTCAGGTCTCTGTGGGCTGCGTGTGCTGAGAAGCCCAGCTCAGCCTGCCAGCGGTCCAGGCAGAGGCCACCTCTGTCCAGCAGCCCTGCAGAGACCCCTCCACCCTCAGGCCAGCCGGCACTCCGGGCAGTGCACAGGACTTTCTGGGAGAGGTGTAGAGTGATGGGCAGGGGACATTCTGTTTCCAAAGCCCCCACTTCCAGGCCTGCTGTGCCACCCCTCCCATCAGGTTCTCCCAGGGCAGGGGCCCGGGGCTGGCGCTCACCAGGCAGCTGTGGGAACTGACCCCTGGGGCACATTCTGCAAGTGTCTCGGGGAACTCGGGACCCTTGCCCTGTACCCTTCCCATGGTGCTCGCGACAGCACCGAGGCCAGAAGCTTCCAGATGCATTGTCTAGCCACCCTGCAAGGAAGCAGAGAAACAGAGTGGGCGCTTCCTGGCCGAGGGAGATGCCCAGAGACTCCAGGGCCGTCCCTGCCTTCTTCTGAGTGCCCCTCCTGCGGGCTCCGTGTCACCTGTCCTGCCTCCTGCTCTCTCCCCTAAAGTGCACTTCTGTCCCAGACCTCTCTGGTGGGCGTCCTCACTGAGGTCACCAATGGCTCCCTTCAGTCCTGTGTCCCTGACCTCATGGAGCATGAGCCCTCTCTTCTCGGCAGAGCCCCACCTGCGCCTGACCTGGACCACCCTCCAGCGATGGCCTCTGCCTTGGACCATCCCTGCAAGCCCCTCCCTGCTGGCCCCAGAGGGGAACTTCTCCACCTCTGTCCTTGTCCCCTTGGTCCTGACACTGTGCTCGGCCACACCCTGCTGTCATGGAGATTTACTTCTCAGGGAGTTGGCCACATGTCACTGCGACCTTTAGGACATGTCAGGGCCCAGTCCCGTGGCCTGTCCCCCTCCTCTTGGGTGACACCAGCAGCTTCCTACTGGCTCCTTCCGGCCCATCTGGGGTCTGCAGTCCGTCATTAAGACGTGGGTCAGAGCGAGAGCCAAAGTCCTCACCCCTAGGGTGCCCAGTGCCCCTGCTTCCTGCGCTGCCCGTCCTGCTCCGTGGCCCTCCCACTCCAGCCAGGCTGGACCCTGCTGTCCTCCAGACCTGTGGTCTTCATGTGCCCTTCCTCCTGGACCTCCCTGTGTCCCCAGAGAGCCACAGGGTCAACCCTCCCCTCCTTCAGACTTCACCCAAGGGTCACCTCAGTGTCCAGACACAGCAGCCGCCCCTCTCCCGCCTTTCCGCCTTTTATGTTCTGAACATTCTGCCCTCTTCCCCTGCTACATGGAGGTCAGGGGCTGAGCTTTCCTCCTGACTCAGCCTGGCTGCCTGACCGGGATGGCCACACAGCTTGGGCAGGTGGGTAAATGCTGACCCCTGCCCATTGTGGCATCTGACGGGCCTCCTGGGGGCCTTGCTGCCATGGCTCTCCCCCGAGGCCTCTGCATGTAGACCTGGCCCAGGCCTGGCTCCTGCCCTTCCTCTCTGTCCACCAGCACGTGGCCCCTGCTGCACCCAACCTCAGGGAGGCAGAAGCCTCACGGACACCCCCTGTCCACTTCTGGGCATGTCCTGGGGAGTCTTGATGGTGGTGTTGTCATTTTAAATATTTACTCCATTAAAATCACTTTTTGTCTGTAGTATTTTCTCTCTCTGACCCCGACTGGCGAGTCTTCTCTGCAAACCTCCTCTTTTCTCCTGAGTCGTCTTGTTCCCGTCGGCCCTGCTTCTAGATGATTGTGACAATTATTTTGTCTTGTTTCAAGAAAAATAAACTCAGGAGCTTCAATCAGGAGGGAGTGGGGCCTGCGGGGCTGGGATCCAGTCTTCACCTCTCTCTGCCTTACTGCAGGAGGGTCCTGACTGCTGGTCGCTGCATGGGACTTCGTTTTCATCACATCTGTTCAGAGCCCCTCAGTCAGGACACGCCGTGGGTTTTCTAGGTTAATGGCCACACCCTCTGGAAAGGAGGACCACCTGTCCACCTCTTTGTGCCTCTCTGTGGTGGGCAGCCCACAGGGGCAGGTCACTTAGCCCCCACACCTGACCTTGGAGGGACCGGTGATTCCAGCACTTAGCTACGGAGATGCCGAGGGCTGATGGGGGACACGGAAGACCGCGTTCCCTGAAAGATCGCCACCCACTTCCTTGGGGGTGGCAAGTGTTTTATAAAAGGGGGTTGTTTTAATGGAGGCTTTGGGTGTCATGGTGGTAAGAGGGCCAGCCCCGAGGTGCCCTGGCCCCGAGAGTGGGAGGCCTGAGTTCTCTGCAGATGCCATAGGGCTGGGCTCTTGAGTCTCGTGGCCAGGGTGACATGTTAGGGTCACCTGTGTGCACTTCCCCTGTGATCCTGGGAGGCTCTGTGTTAGGACCCCAGCACCGAGGGCCGTCCACACGGCAGAACAGTCCAGGCCCGCCCCAGGGGCCCGCCGACCGGCCGGCGGGGACGCCTCGGGCTGTCTGCTCTCTGGCGCCCCTGGAGCGGTTCTCGTCACCTCATGACCTGCGGAATCCCTGGTGTCAGTTTGCTCAGAAAGTGTCCCCTACCTGAGCTGCTGACTCCTGTCCTGACATGCTCACGTGGGTAGTCTCCTGCTGCCCGGAGGCCCTCCTTCCCAGTGTCACTTCATGTCCCCACTGAGTGGCTCTAGGAGGACCACTGTCGGGACCTCGGTGCTAACCCGTGGCCAGTCCTGTACCTTGACCTGTCCACCTGCAGTGTGTCTTCTCCACTGTCCACTCAGCTGGCGAGGCGTCCACCTCTGTGTCCTCCCCACCTGCCCATTGCTGCTGCCCCGCGGCTCACTGCTTTTCCTAAGTAATGAAAGTGGATTTTATTTTCCCTTCTGCTTTCCTCACATTTGCCTTGTGGTTGTTCTGGCTTTCGGAGGGGAACTCCAAAAGCCTCCTTCTTTCTGGCTAAGCCATGAAGCATGGGGAGTGGAGATTGCACCGTGGGGCCCCTCACGGTGCTGCAGGCAGTTCTCGGGGTCTGCCTGCCGCTCTGCGGGGAGGGGTGCCTCCCTTCTGTGTGGCTGGGAGCCTGCGTCTCTGCCCTGAGCTGGCTTCAGCTGCCACACCCCTGTGTGGGAGAAGACGGGAGTTCTGATCTCCACTTAAAGACACGCTGAACTGTTTTGAGGCACTGAATTTTTCTCCCATTATAAAGAAGGTGTTTTTTTGAGGGTACTGAGTTTAGTAGCCTTCAGACCAGCCTTGTAAGTAGTATTATTGATATTACATCTTTATCTACTTTGACCTGAGAGATATAGTGTCAGATGTGTCTCAAAGTTGGCTGTTATTCCCTCAATTATGCCTAGTTCTGCCAATACCAAGTCTGGTCTTTGCTGATTTGATGTTGAAGTCAAATTATTCACTGAAAGCTATATAAACAAAACTCACCTTTTGAGACCTTGGATTTTTACTTAATTAGATATTAATTATGAAATCATGCTGTTCATTTGGGGGTTTTTTTGAGATAAGTGAAAATTTTATTGTCTTGAATAACAACTAGAAAATTCACTCTAAATTTGTGATGTAGTTTAAACAAAAGTACTCCCTGACTTTGTCCACTAAAAATAATAATGAATAGATTAATTAAGGACCCAGAAGAAAGAAGCCCCTCTGTGCCCTGATTGGCAGCAACTTCATTTGTTTACTCTGTGAACCTCCACTGCAGCTCAGGTTCTGGCTCTGGGTCTTGCCGATGTTGTGGTAGATTCTGATTTCACAAGGTGGGAGTCCCTTCCTTTTGCCGAGTAAGTTTACCCTATTTACATTTATTGCCTTGTTGTGTTTTCCTTATTACAGTCATTGTTGTACATGTTTTTTATATGTTTTCTTGTTTTTTAGAATGCTACGTTCTTTTAATACTGAGAGGATCCCTGTCGTCTTAAATACTATCTATCACCTGTGAAGTTTTCAGCAACTTGTATCACTCTAAGGATAAACTCCAGGGATAAAATACAGTCTTGATTTCCTCCTCTGAAAACAAGGAAAACACCTATTTTGCCTTTTACAATCTCAGCCCCTGCTCGGTTCTTCCTCCTGTGTTTAAAAGCAGCTTCTCTTTCTCCAGGTAAGCGTTCCTCTCCACGGGGGTCTGCTCGGTACAAGGACTGACATGTGCACCTGGTTGTGCAGCCACCATGGGGCCCTGAGGGAAGGTTCCTTTCCCGTCCCTGCAGTCCTTCTGCTGCCGTCCTGGGCTGGGGACCGCCCTGCATCTCGGTTACAGTGCATTGCTTGAGCTCCCAGATGAGGGTGGGCTCACAGGCCCTCCTTCAGAGTGGGTGGTCCTGAGCCCTCCCTGTGGCCCTCACACAGGAGAGCGCCAGGGAGACAGGACACTC